TCCTTTAATTCCTGAAAAGCAAAGCATGTCATCTTTGTATCATAAAGTTTTATATCCCCTTGAAAAATATGGAAAACGTGTGATATTCACTTGAAGGAAATACCAAAAAGTGTGTTCTTCTACCTGTGATATCTAATATATATCCTATGCTATATTATCTATTTTAACAGAGTTATAATGTATGTATTAAAATTAAAATTTGAGCAAGTATGGCAATCCTGGACATGATGATATTAAAATAATTACTGATGCAGTATTTCTAGAATGACCATGGCAGAGGATATTTGAAATAGAGGTTAGATAAGGGCTGAGTGGAAGCATCCTTGCACTCTGTTCTGGTTTTTGTTCTTCTCTAGATCCATTTTGGCATTTCTTTGGGATTCTATTTTCTCTCTTTTTAAAAACAAGATTTGACATTCTTAGCAACTTTAAACAGGGGAGGAAATGTGCAATCATAAAACTCAGTGATCAAAGAGACATGAGAGATGGTCCCTCTGGGTTTTCATCCAAAAAACTATGATCAGAATCACTGAATTCTTTAAAAATTTTTTTACAATGATCTAAAAAATATTTGCCAGTTATAAAGCTTTATTTTTGTGAGAATAATTTTGCAATTGACAAATATATTTATAGAATAAGTTTAAATCAACTTGTGAGCCTATGACTCTTTCTTCCCTTCGAATTATTCGAGATTTTAAAGTAAGTGGTCTAGGGCAACCATCTTGCACCAGTTGGCAGGGAATATTTCGAGTGTTTGGAAGGCACACACTCACACATCACAAATCAGAAATGATGTGTTGGTGAGGCTTACTCTAGGCTTTGTGAGTGAAAACATTCCCTAATAGCCTTTGTGTTAGTCTCATCACGTTTGATCCCACTTCTCCCATATTGCCACCATTTGCCCCATTGTGTTATTCCTTCGTACAGGAGTTAAAGAAGTAGAGAGCGTTTGGGGAAAGGTAACTATATCAATGGATCAGGCAGCTCTTTTTATTTCTTTTTATCTTCCTCCTTAAGCTCTAGGCCAGCCAAAAAAGTGTTGCTTAGCAGTGGTTTCAGAGGGGAGACACAGCTATGAACACAGCTGTGTTTCTGCAGCTCATAGTTTCTCAGATATTTCAGCGACTGCTTTTCCCTGGGGCTCCCAGAGTGCCCCACCCCAGCCAGCCCTAAGGATGCAGCTTAAGAAATGTGTCCAAGTCTTGTTGACAGGTGATCTCATAGGAGCTCTCAGATGGTGAGTTAATTCATGTCTGAAATACATTTCGTGCATCTTTGGGGAAGAGGGTGTTAAGAAAGCTGCTCATTTCCAAGGCAAAAGCCAAAAGAGAGAGAAGAGCAATTCTGGCATTATAGTGTCAGTTTCACATCATTTTACTTACCTTTTGGCCCCATGCGCCCCACTTTGCCATGCTTTCCTTCCTCTCCCGGATCTCCTTTTTCACCATCATCTCCTTATGAAACAGAAAATGAGAGAGAGAGTGGAGCAGCTCAGATAGGAACATAAGCACATTCTCCTCCAGGTAAGGTGAACATGGGCACAATCGTCCCACAGCTCAGTGCTTGCCTCACAATTCAGCTGTGAATATGTATGTAAATCCACATGGACTGGACACTCAGGTAAAAAGAAGAGTCTTCCAGGATATTTTCTCCTTTATTTTTCTCTACATCCAACTCTATGTTTGAAGAAATATCCTTGCTGTTGAATCCCTAAGAATTTTGTTTGGCCTGACAAATATTTATTCTTGCTGTAGAATCTGGTGAATTCTGGAAGCATGATATATGTAACACTTATAAATGTTATGTTATATATATATGTAAATTTATTACTCTCTGACTGAATGCTTGGGAACCCCAAAATTGTAGGCATGGACTAGGAAGTCAAGAACAGGAGACTAGGGAGGAGGAACAGCTGCAAAGCAGTTCTGTGTGAGCAGCAACTGTCTTAGTCAAAGGTGGGTATTGCTCCAGCACCTTGAACAATCGAGAAGGACTGAATGAATGGTTTCATGAATGATGACCCAGACTGTTAATCAGGAGTCCTAGACTTTAATATCATGTTAGTCACTGATTGATTGAACAAATCTCTGATAGGCCAGTGATTGAGCTTATTGACCTTGGACCAAGACAGATCTGGACATGAGTCTCAGCTCCACAGCTTGCTACCTGGAGAAACTTGAATGCACAACTTCCCTCTTTGAGTCTCACTTTCCTCTCCTGCAAATTGAACTTACGACACCTATTACAGTGGGCTTTTAAGAAGTTCAAATAAGATAATATGCAAAGAAGACCTGGGACACAATCAGTGCTTAGCAATGATGGCTACTATTATTCTTTCCTTTACACTTCAGTTTCCTCATCCTTAATGTGGGGATAGTATCTGCTCTCCCTACCTCACTCAGCTGTTTTAGGATCAACAAGGTAAGCATGTGAATGTGCTTTGAAAACAAACAATACAACACACACAATATTATGACCAGGTAC